CCAAATAAGTTTAAATATTTGTTGACATTTTTTTAACACAATCTAATGAAGTAGCGGCCGATCAAAGCTTTAACTTTCATAAAGATAAAATGCGGCATTCTGCAGATATTCAAAGTATTCCTAGAGTTGAAGATGATTATAATCTTTCAACGAGAGAAACTGATCGTTCAACGATAGAAATACATAATTCCTCTATTTCACGTCTGAGGGAAAAAACTGTTGGTTTTGATAAGTCAACTATTCGTAGAATTGAGCGTAGCGTAGATGAGAAAATGACAAGTAATATTTGGTCAGAGTTTACAAAACAGTACCTCGTTAAAGAAGAATCATTAAAATTTAACGTAAAGGATATAATTGTTCCAGAATTTAAACTAAAATTCATGGAAGATTTTGAAAGATTTTAAAAGAAAAAAATGTTTTTGATGATTGGGACAATTTACCGAAAATACTGTATATAAATCTTCTTTCTAAAAGTAAAGACAAAGAATTGTATGAATTTTTCATCGATATTTCTAAACAATGTGAAGAAATTATTAAAACACACAACATCGGTAGGACAGTAGGCAAAATAAACGGTTTATCTACTTCTAAAATGATAATTTCGCAGTTCGACAGAAACCGTTTTCGACAGCGTGTTTCGACAGTGTCGAATTTTGAGTCAAAAAGCTTCGACACTGTCGAATTTCAAGCGAAAAATCTGTCGAACTTTTAAAATGTTTCGCTCGAAATTCGACGGTGTCGAAAGCCCGTCGAATTTCCATTGAAAAATTTCAAAAAAACAAAAGGGTAATGACGTAAAAGCGTAAGGTGGGTGGACATGAGAATGAGGCACAAGATCACGTTCAATGTCGTGCCACTAAGCCCCGGATACTATTGGTGGTTTTTTCCCTAGAGACATAGTGAAATGGTGACGCAAAGACGTAGGGATTGTCTACGCCTCTATATGTTTAAGCTTTTGCTTCTCTAGTAGGGGAGCAAAAAGTCTGTCCAATTTCTAGTCTGTTTGAAAATTTTCGCTTGAAATTCGAGAGGCTTTCAACACTGTCGAATTTCGAGTGAAAAATCCGACAGTGTCGAAAACTGACTGTCGAAAAGTAGAACTGTCGAGCGGCGACAAATTCTCTAAAATCCATTTCTCTGTTAACGATATTGAAAATCAAATTAGAAAAAAGTTTGTCTACTCGAAAATTAAAGAAAATTGTGCATTGAATATAGAATGGAAAATGAAAATATTGACATAAAAGAGTATTCTGAAAAAATGCAAAAGCTTTTGATTTCAAAACATGTTATCCTGAAAAAATATCTTTTCCTTTGGAGCCCAATTCTCTTTCAGAAAATCCTCCTGTAAAAACAGTATTTTCAAATGGATATGGAAAATCACTTATTCATGATTTAGAAAAATATTATGGACAACAATCAAATAAATCAGAAATAGTGAAAATTAACGAAGAATACTTTTTCTTTTTTTTGAAAAAATCTGGAGAAGGTGTTGAACTTTTACAAGTTTTTACAACAATTTGGATACAATTTGGATTGAAAATAAGAATATAGAAAATTGTGTGTCTAAAAATGAATTGGAAGAAATTAGAAAAGAAATGTTTAGATTAAAGAAAAACATTGAATTAAAAACGGACGAAATTAATAGTGAACTAATGAAGATAAATATTATTACACAATCTCTCGATATAAAATCCCCAAAAAAATGTTTGGTATTCTATAAAACGTTTTTGATATATTATTCAGTTAAAATTTTGTATGATAAGAATTAGAAATGTTTTTGCTTTCGTAAACGATGAAGTATTTGACTTAAGAGCTAGACACTATCGTCTTGAAAGGTTCCCTTTGAAAAGTACATACTATTTTGACTAATAGAGGGTCTCGAAGAGGTCCAGAATAACTAGGAGACATATTTTTTATTGACTAGAGTGTGATAATTCGCCTCTATAACCTTGAATGATACAGAATTGAGTGATAGGTTTTTTCCAAACTGAATATAACTACTATTTGCTGTTAGGATGGTTTGATACTGCTAATATGCATTATGCACGATATTCGCACACAGCATCGGTATTAACAAATGGAAAAGTGTTAGTTACTGGTGGAGAGAATGCTTCCAGTGTTCTAAATAGTGCTGAGTTGTACGATCCATCGACAGGAGTGTGGACCGTCATCAGGGATATATTACTTACTGGCGGAGTTGGTAGTGAGCGTTTTATTTTTAGTGCTGAGTTATATGGACCACAAACAAGTTATATGGATAACAAACACAAACAATATTTTCTGTTTTCGACGAATAACTCTGATTATTAAAACTATCAATATTTCAATAGAAAAATTATTGATTTACTGATAACAATTTTTGCTCAATTCTTTTATGCATTCGTCGTGTCTTTGATAAATTTGAATTCCTTGTCTTGGTTGTCACTGCAATAAGAAAACTAGTGTGTACAAAAGCAACAGGCAAGATGATCTACCTTCACCATTAGAATATTGTCATTTCCAATGGCTTAATATCCCTGCCGCTACTTTTAGAAAGTGCTCTACGCAGTGAAGAATAATGAGTCAGATGAACACGAATAGTAAAAAATAAACACTTAATTGATTTGTTCATCTTGAGGGTGCGGGTGTGAGGTGAGTACGAGCTACCTGAGGGTGAGGATGAGGGTGGGTGTGTATTTAGACAAGCATATTACGACCGGTTTCGACCTTGCTCAAGGGTCTTCTCAAGTGGCTTAAGACAATTTAGTCTGATTTTTGTGAAAGAATCAAATTAAATTATCAACTAATCTGCTGTATGAAAGCCTTTTGAACAGAGAGTAGAAAGACGGAAACGTGTAGTAGAATTTAGATAAGCGGATGGTGAGAGTGAGGATCATGAAAAGATTCATAGCCACGACCGGTTTCGACCGTTTTTAGGTTTTTCAATAATCAATCAGTTTTTCACTTCTTCTTTCTAATCACTCGTCAAAGTGAACCATAGGAGGGCTCACGGCGTTATGAACCATTGTTGACGGCCATGAAGATTCTCTGATGGTCAAGAAGTTTTAGTTCGGTAATTGAAGTATGAAGAATTCCTGGAAGGTTCGGCCTGTCCGACTTGCTTTATTTTACCAACAAAGTAATTAGTGAGATTCAGAGTTCCCTTCCCATATAGATCGTTATCAATCATATGAAGTACTCATGTATCGGTTGTTCATGAAGTAATGTGATTGGTGTCCACTGGTGGATGCTTGTTCTAGAGCGAATTAATCGAACTAATGTTGATTCCATTTTGTTGTCAAATGGGGATTCGATAAATAAATTAATAAGGAATGGGTCAACGGCGCCACTACTATTGGAATTTACGTTGCAATCTGACGAGTTGTTGTTGTGTTTGTAAAGATGTTGGTATCGGATATAACTGATAAAACCTGGTGGTTGTTCGTCACAATTATGATTGGGTCGTCACATGAGGTTGCTCCGAGCTCCTCATGAAATGAAATCCATCATTGGTAATACGGCTACTGTCATAAGTCGTGATGCGATTTCCGTTGAGAGAAAATCTATCTAAAACAGAAGAGCATTCTTCGAATGAAATATGTGTGTTTCGTAGAGCAGATGATCTGGTATGCAGTTCTTTAATGAGAAGGGACGGCAGATAGATATATGAAACGAGTAGGCATTATTCATACGATAGTGGTTGATTCATCTGAAGGAGAAGGAAATCTATGTGTTCGCTTTGTTCCAACTGGAGAAGCTCTTGATCGCTTCGTTCTTCCTGTTTGGCTGGTGCAAACCGTTCTTCGGCGTCGATATTCTGCTGCTGTTCAATTTGATCCCTCGGAAGTTGAGGGTGTTCAAGAACGACAAAGCCTTCGAATTCATATTGTTCTTGCTCCCATCGATCTCTTGGATCGATTGTTTCTAAGTTGTATGCGTCCAGTACTATCTCGTCAGTGGCTATAAGTCCACGCTACCATTTTTAGAATTATTTATCGATTTTGGATTATACATATGGTACCCATATGTTAAAAAGATTCTCAGGTATCTACCATGATTCGATACAGGATTATACATAGGGTTCCCCGTATGTTAAACATTATAGAAGGTAAATAATTAAGAGCGATATAAGTTTATAAAATTACTATATCCTTGTTCTGATCTATTATTTTTCTTATATGTTTTATATTTTTATATTTTAGGATCCTATTGACATGTTTAGAATATTATACGGGATATGAGTATCTAAAATATTTTTTTATTATTTTAATATATATATATATATATATATATAGTATACAAGGTTAATAGAATTATATCATAAGAATCCATCGATTGCTGCATCGAGTTCGGTCTTTCCCACGGGTTCTCGAATGTTTCTTGTGAATTTCTTTGTCTCCAGTGTCTTTGAGTGTAATTCGTACATGGCCGATCGCGAGGCGGTGATCTAGGAGTCCAGCGCTGTCGTTCTCGCTGTCGCTGCTGATGTATTAAGTCTTGTTCGAATTCCAATTGGACCACTCACAAAAAAACCAAAGTTATGAGCCAGAGTTAGAGAAAATGTCATCCGACTCAGTTTTGATGCGGATTCCTAATGTCACTATTGTTTTTTGTACAAAAAGGATTGGTAAGGAAAATCACCATATACTCGTGATTTTTGCTGTTCTTCGTCAGTTTTACAAAATTTCGCCGTATCAGCAAGGTTTCTGATCTTTTCGCCAAAGGAGTTTTGTAAAGCTTTTCGAGCGTTATCAACTCCACTAAGAACTGTTTGTGACAGCCACACTGTTGATGCTGAAAAGTGGTAATAAGACCGTGACGGACCATTTTTGAGGTATTTGCAAATTACCTCCACACTTTACAGCAAGGTACTTTATATGTACGCACACGAATTTATTTTTATTATTATTAACACACCCCAATATACAAAAAACTGACGGTAATATGCATTTGTTAAAAAGCATCAAGTTCGTCTTGTGTATTGGCAAGCAAAAAGAACAAGATAAAAGTAAAGAAATAAGTCATTCGATTGAGCGTCTGCTAAGGGCATTTGTCAAACAATGTGCTCCACCAGCTCCTTCCAAGAGTCCTGCTGTCGACAGACAAAAGACTATACACGATAATTTTTGATCATGTCTCATTTGTGTTACAATACCATTTTCTTCATCGCCTCCACCATAGGTAACAACGTGATGTGCATCAATAGCCAACACATTATGTCGACAATTTATTTGATCTTCAATCGAAACATTATCCATTTTTGAGTCATATAATGTCAGTGTCTCACCTCCTAATACACTGCCAAGTGTTTCAACTGTTCCTCTCGAAATCCACAGTGTACTGCTGCTAATATCGGGTATTACTTCATACACGTCCATCAGTGGAGCTAAACGAGCGTGCAGCGTGAATGCATTACATCCAACTGAACTCAAAACCGTATCCAAATGCATGTAATCTCGGTTCTCTGGTACTTTAACAACAATCACACGGTTCAATGTACCGGATTCGAACATGGCTTGTGCCAATGCATCAATTGCAAACCGGTTTGTTCGTTGACTCCAACCAATTAACAGCGTACCATCACCAACATAGGCCAAATCACCACCTTCCATTGTTGCTTTGGCAGGATGTGGTACATATTGCTCCCAATCGATCAACTCAAAGTGTTCGACAAATTTAGGATAATATTTGAAGATAATGCTCATTATCAATGGTTCATTTTGTCTTGCTGAAAATGCCATTTTATGAATCACAACTTTATTTTTAATGATTGAAAATGAATCGCGTGTGAACATCATATTTGGTAATGGTGGTACTACAAAACCATTCAGTGATAACAAATTATTAACATCAAACTGTCCAAGTTCATCCACTGTACATGCAACTCCTTCAATAACATCCCTCGCCAATTGTCCAGGACTCCTCGCCTCTAACCACAATCGTAAACAATTCTTGTCCTCCGGTGATAAGTCTGTATTTTTAATAATACCATCAATGAGTTCATGAAAAGCTAATGGACTACCTATCATAGTTGCACGAAGAATATCAGATACATACAAAACATTCACATCTTGTTCTCTCAGATACTCGGCAAACCTGTCATGCGATGTGTGTGTATCATTTAAATTGGGTATCGCATCAAACAGTAATGTACTGAGATTTTCTGGTATTAAGCGACGAATTTCATTACCAGGACGATGCATCAAAACACATTCAAGTCGACCAGCTTCTGAATGGACTCCATTGAGTTCTAACCTGTTGTGACTGATAACTAAATCAATTTCCTTTTGAACATCTTCTAAGCTCCATTCCAAACATGTTATTTGTTGTGAATAATCATTAAACATCTGATAATCATTTTCAAATAGATCGCCATGTCTACAGCCTAATGCGCGATATATAGCAACATTCGATCTAAGTAGTTCTCGTTGTTTCATGAATGAATTCACTTGCTTAACCATCGTCGTTTTTATTGTGGTCAGTTGGTTTAAAATATCATCCATTTTGCTGTTAAATCTATGATTTCATAGCGTGTAAACTTACTTTATTAGAATAGTGTTTTAAATCTATATATATAGTTGCCGTCCTTTTATTTGGGCCAATTGTAATTATCCAAAGGAGTCATCAGTGTTGTCATTACTTATGTTTATTCCTGATTTCAAAGAGAAAAACCAAGAGTAAAAATAGAAAAAAGGGTGTGTGACGAATAGAAGAAAGAAAATTGATAACAGCAAAAGTAAGCTTCTGTTCTTCACCACACCCTTTTTTCTATTTTTACTCTTGGTTTTTTCTCTTTTAAATCGGGAATAAAAATTAGTAATGACAACATTGATAACTTCCTTGAATAATTACAATTGGTACAAGTAAGAAGACGACAACTATATATAGGCCAATAGTGTACTTTCATTTACTGCAGTAGCGCCTGAATCAATCGAACTTGATATATAAGCTTTATTCTGTCAAAATACAAGCAGAAGAATATTCCATTATAGTAAACTAAAACTATCGAAAAACACAAATTTATTTTTGTACGAATAGAAATTCGAACATGTGAACTTAGCTTTGTAGTAAACTACAAAACTAAATTCACCGTTCTGTATCTGTATTCTGTACAACGATTGAAGTTGTGCAATCGACTCGATGTTAGCAGTATTAAGATCGAACTTATCATCAGATAATCAGATCGTCAATCTACCGAAAAGTGTCATTTAATGATCTGCACGTCCCATAGAGTTTTGGGGCATTTTTTTCCAATAGCTCAAATTCTGATTTGTAATAAAACAAGTTGGCCAAGTATGGTCCTGGATTTGTATCCATCGGAATACCAATAGTTTCTCGATTTACTATTGATCCAAAACTAAAATAACAATTTTCAACTAAAAACTGTACCATTTGGTTGAGCAAACTTTTCGTTAAAATTAACTGATTTTTGGTACCTACTTTTATATTAAAACTGCTTTGGAAGTTTACAGACCAACTATTGGCTACTATAACAGTAGTTTTTGATAGAATACTTTTGCCCACTACTCATTCTATACTTTTAATGAAAAGATCATGCGGAATGCTGGTATATAACATAGAAAAATTGCACATTTCTAGCCGATTTTTTCTTATTAATCTCTTTTATTTTGTTAATTACCCGAGACGAACTGTCGATTGTCCAAAAACGATTGATTTTTGTTTTAAGTATTATGTTTTGTGCAATACCTAATCTGCTATTTGTACATTAATCGTAAAGTAGAACAGAGAACTCGCGTCAATTTTTTTGTGCAACGGTACGATGATGGTATGATGAATCATTGCTTAATTGGAGCTTTATGAAACTTTGGAATCCAACAAATAAACGGTAGGAACTCCATTTTATCTGGCACCTCAATATTATGCTTTTTTTAAAAAAAGCATTGAAAATCGGTGACTGTAACGAATCACATTATTGAATAGCTTAATTGAAAGATATTTTTCCTTTAATGTAAGCATTCTGTTTACCTTTCAACTACTAAACACAGAGATGACACGAAACAGAATAAGTTAATTGTTGTCCGTTCATTTCCTTCATCATAATTAACTCAAGTTTAAGATGTACGATTTATTATTGCGAAGCATCGATCGACAATATACAAAAAATGAAAATTATACAGAGTTACTAAAGATTTTTCTGTTTTAACTAGTTTGTAAACATTGTGCCAGCTGCTACTATACGTACACAGAAAATGACTGTGCTTATTCCATTTGTCCAGAAAGGATCGACAATTCCAAATTAACTTTATGTCGATTTTAAGCTATACTATTATTGACTTTGGGGTTATAAAAGACTTTATATTATTACGTTGAAAAAATCTTCAACTTTTTTGAACCGGTTGAAGTTGACGATAGGTATATGGTGGCGGTACAGTTTCACCATTACATATCTGTTGATTCGGATTATAACCCATACAAGGGTGACCGGAAGCAGGCTGTTGTTGATGCATTCCTTTTCGTCTATTCTCACGAATAATGATAAAAATAATTAAACTGACAACGAGCATACTGCCGATTAGCGATGGTAAATCAACAGACAAAATGAATTGAGTACCAACTATATCTATATTGGCACGTTTTCGATTTTTTATCGCGATATAAATTGGACTAACACATGTAATCATATTCACTACTTTACCACTGACACGTATTACCACGATTTTTATCACAATACCTCACAGTGCCACATTCTCTTGAATGTATATCCATACTCTCTAAAAAAAAAAGGTACTCTACCGAAGCTAAAAAGGGTTTAAACTTTTGTCACCATCTATATACCTTTTTAAGGTTTCGTAAAAACTATATACCGTTTTACTTAGCTAAATCCGTGACTGGGAAAAGCTTGGGAACACTGAGAAAACACTTTTTTTTGTGTTTTTACACAAATTTTTATTTAGGGTGCTGTACGAAACCTTAAAAAGTTGTACGAAACCTTAAAGAGCTGTACGAAACTTTAAAAGGTTTCGTAGTTTGTATGAAACTTTAAAAAGGTATATAGATGGTGACAAAAGTTTAAACCCTTTTTAGGTTCGGTAGAGTACCTTTTTTTTTAGAGAGTACTCGAACATGGATATCTATTATATTTTTGAGACTGGCATTTGCCTTTGTCGCAGTAGTACAGACATCGATTATCATCGTTACATGGACAATCACTGAGGCATAGAGCTTGCGCATTATCAGCAAGTATAAAAGAATGAGAACAGGACTAGTCAATAGGAAACTATTCTCATTCTTTGCTTTTTAGAAAAAGCACCTCTGTACCGATTGAAATTTGAAAACAAAATTGAAACGTGTGTATAAATAATAATTTCTTTTCTTCTAGGCGCCTCTGCCACTTGAAGTGACATCGCGTTTCATCTCTTTCTTATCGATATCTGTTGACTCAACAAGTAACCCATGCGTCGTATTTTTAGTAAAATTTTAATATGAATCACTAACATTGACTCATATCAAAATTTTACTGGAAATACCACGCATGGGTTACTTGTTGAGTCAACAGATATCGATAAGAAAGAGATGAAACGTGATGTCACTTCATTCATAAATATTATCATGATGGGTGCTTTCCCGCAGCTCCGTCCACCTTTTACAGAATTCTTTCCTGGCAAGATCTAAGTGCGCTAATTTTGTAGCCCCTGTCGAGTTGTGTAAGAATTCATATTCAATTTTTGTTCGCATTATGCGCTAACGGCTGGCCAGAGAGCTCAAAACCCGATTTTACAACATTTATACTTTTACGTCAGCATTTATGCTTTTATTTGTATTTATGCTACTGGAATCATCAGTGTAAAAGTGGTATGTTTTCGTCCTCATCCTCAAACTCTATATTAATATTTCTTTTTGCTAAACATTTAATCATACTATAAGTAATTGACTGATTTGGTTTAGCAATTTTATCGGGAACATCACAGAGGGATAAGAACCATTAAGAATTGTCAATGTTTTTTGACTAGTTAGTTGCTATAATATATATATATTTATTATAAAATGAATTAGATGAGATGAAATATTATTCAAGCTTGAATTTCACTAAATGAATCATAACTGGCCCAAATTCTAAGCTTTTCTTTACTTCATGCGCCCTATCGATCAGCAAAATATGAGTTTAAACGGGATTGGACACCTATATAAGGGTGCACGTAAGATACATTTTGGTTTCTGTTTAAATGAGGAGATTTTATTTCTATTTATTAGATCCAATCATTTACTATCGACGATTCTACATTAATATTGCGTAATGCTAAACAGTTTTGCACTCTAATCTCCAATGAATTACCTAACTTGAAAGAACTATCCTTTCCTATTTATGCTTCATGCTGTGGGAAAAATAAATCAACAAAATGTATTGTTAATATTATTCATTTTCTGGTTGATCATTTACAACAACTTGTTTCGCTCTATATGAGCTTTTCGTCTGAGTTTCGTTCTGAAACAAGCTGTGTTCCATATCTAATTCGACCAGAACTACATTAATGGTCACTTAGCCGATCTCATCGATGACAATGTTTTCCCGAAAAGATTCAGATCTGGCTTCAGTACTAACTTACATCAGTTATGTTAAACTTTTGTTTATTGGGAACTTTTTCTATATACATATATATGAGTAAAATTGTAACATATTCAATTTGGTCGAGTTTATAATAAAACATTCAAAATGAAAGAAAATCTCGTTTTTTGTAATCGATATATGAAACTAATATTTTTAGAATAGACTAATGTCACTCATTCATTCTCTCAAGATAATCAACAATACAATGTGTTACAAATTTAAAAGAGGAAAATAAACTTTTCATTCATGCTATTCTTTACTCATTATCATTTTCATTTAGTTTAAATTTATTTTTAAAATATGAATTAAAGAGAAACAATATATTTCTTTATCTGACTTAACGGAATAGCTATTACCTTAACAAATAAATTGTTATGACTGGCAATCCCGTTCTTGTCTGATTGAGTTCGAATAAAGTGAAAAATAGATTTGAATAATATTTCTTATCCCTAATAGTTCTTATCCCTCTGTGATGTTCCCGATAAAATTGCTAAACCAAATCAGTCAATTACTTATAGTATGATTAAATGTTTAGCAAAAAGAAATATTAATATAGAGTTTGAGGATGAGGACGAA